CTACAATTTTTTAAAAAAAATGGATATCATTATTATTAAAATTGTCAATATTATTATAAAATTGTTAATATTAATAGAATTGTCAAAACCAGCAACTGAGTCCTGCATAAGAAGAGACTAAGCTGACACAAACACACCTACTAGATTTTTTCAAAAGAAAACTCTTAAATTTGGTCTACCAACTGGGCATCCATCAATCGGACAACAGTCCTCACAAATGCTATCTAAAGTATCTCAAGATGTATCTCCAGAGGATGCTGTTCGGCAGGAGATGCAGAGGGAAGGTGATTTGGCAGGAGGTGCAGAGGGCCATGTTGGTCTGAGGAAGTCTTCCCTCCCCTAAGTTAGGTAGGGCTGTTCCTTAGGACTGTGTTGTAGCTTTGAAACAATATCTGGGTATCCATGATGCCCATGGTTTGAGGGACAGAATCCCTGCAAGAAGGGGCTTAGTAATGAGATGTAAGATGGGGTAAGCATGTTCTAGCTCTAGCCTCATTCTGCTTTTCCCTTTTGGGAAAGAATTACTCCGCAGCAGCTATAACTACCATGAATGTCACCACAGCCACAACCCAGCTTCATTCTTTCTCCATTTTCATCTCTAATGTCATTTTGAAGCTTGTGAAAATTGCTCTGAGATATAAGAGAAACGTACCTGTAAGTAAGTGTTCATTTACTGATATGATTCACTGCTGCCTACAGGAAACAGGAGACACTGTTGTAACCATGACATAAAGTTGACAGTGTATGGAAATTAACCCATGGTGTGTAAATGGCTATGAAGGACCATGGTTGGCTCTGAGCTCTCCACGAAGCCCACAGTTCTTCACTTGTCTTCTGGCACTGACATATTTGGGCTCTGTGGACCTCTCCAATTTCTCTCTCTCTACAAGCCAGAAAGTAATCATAATGTAGGTTGGGAGCATGACATTACTGCTTCTCATGCTAAGCAACTGCAAACTGCGCCCAGGAGGATGCCTGGTTTATTCCTGGCTCCGCACCGTGAAAGACTGACCTAATGAAGCAATACAGAGCAGCTGATGTTGGCAGGTCTTGTGGTATGGACAATTAGAGGTGCATTTATTGGCAAAATATTTGTGCCTCAAAGGCTACCATGTACAGGTGCCTACCTTGATAATTCTGTGGTGTGGAGTTTTTATTTGGTTGCTCTTTCAAAACCACATGTAAGGTTTGCATTTGAATCCATTAAGGTTGCAACTGAGTTCTATTAAAAAAAAAAAAAAAAAGCAAAACAAAAAACGAAAACCAAACCCCAAAACAAATCACTAAACACCTCAATTGCAGCTCTATTTTAATTAGTATGTTTTAACCAATGTCTCCTAATGGTAACATATAAAGAATAGCTCCAATATTTAGTGTACCAAATAGAAAATATTGTGTATGTCAAGCTAAAACATACCACTTTTATAGTTATTTACTGTCTTCAGAAATGACTAAGAAATACAGGGGACTAGAGGAAAATCTAATATCCAAAAGGATTAACTGTCTCTTTTTTAACAGAGTGACATCTTTGGCATGTGAAAGAAATGTTAGCCCATTTTTAATGAAGATTATGAAAATGTGGTTATAAGCTGTAGACAAAGAGCAGGATGCATCTGACCAAAATTAAACATAGATATAAAATTTTATATATGTCTATATTTAGACATCTATATTAGATATCCTAAAATATAAACGTAGATATCTGACCGAATTAACTGTCTAAAGTCCATGTCATTAGAGGAAAGAAAGTAGCAGAGGTACGGTCCAGTCTGGCTCTTTCTTCTGTAGTTGTCTAATGTAGATCAGACCAGTCATGTTATAATAGTCCCTAAATCTCTCCACGGAATGCAAAGGGAAGCCCAAGTGAGCAGCTCAGATGTAAATATCTACCATGCAGCTGTTTAAAGATAGTTGAAATTATTCCCATACACTCAGAAACTGAAAAGCATCATGCCTCCTTGTTGTAATACTCAGAGGCAGGTGAAATCATTGGAGGACTAGAACCCCTAGTTGATATTATATGCCTGTTTCTCCACACACACACCCCCCCCGCCCTATCACATCCATCTGTCCAACCATCCAGCTATCTGTCTCACATAACTAAAAAGAACAAAAAGAAGAAATCAACTGATAACCTCCAAACTTTCTTATGATTTAAAAACTCCAGACGTTAAGGGCCAAACTGCCCCCCCCAAAACAACAGGTAATTAAAAATATGTTATTACTGCCTTACTTCTAAGTCTTTATCCCTACAGTGAATGTCAGATGAATAGTGAAAATCAAGCATCTGGGGCTAGGATGCCTGAAGTTTATAAGCCAAACAGAGCACTTGGCACGTAGCTGTCACCTGTTCAGTCATGAGGAAAACAATGAAATAGGGAAAATCCTAAATACTATCTATCCAACAGCACACTCAGGGCAATCAGGGCTGACCTCTCCTAAAATTAAGCACTTGCACATCTTCTGCTGAATTTGAAATTAATGGGGAAACAGACTCTGTACCTCCTGATACCTAGGGGAATGCTCAAAGGCTATTAGGTAAATGGATAATTTCTTCTCCTTCAAGTATGTTATAAAAGCAAGAGATGGCTTGCAGCTGATTTTTGTGAGTTACCTACAGAGGTATCTATCTCAGAAACACATACTACTTCAGAAGTACACAGGTACACAGCAGACCAATTGCACTGAGCACCACGTAAGGCTAATTGGATGGACCCCCAGTGTTCTGGTCTCAAGCAGGGTAGAAGCATGATCTAGATGCTGAGTTGCTCAGCCCAGTCAAGATTTGGATGGAGGAGTTGCTTTAAAGTGATACAGGCATATAATACAAAAAAAGAAAAGTACTTTACGGAGTTTAAACGATGCCAGACTAAACTCAGAAGAGCTTTTCAAAACAGAAATTTTGGATTTAAATGCCTGACTTGAACTAAATCTGACTTCAGGTTCCTACATTAAGCAATTCCATAAAGTCACTAAAGTTACACCAGGGAGAAATTCAGCCCTAAGTGACATGATTTTGGGCATGTAATTTGCACCTTTTCTAGAAACAAAATATTATTGCGCTATCATTTTCAAGACCATTCTAAAGCTGCATATCGCCACTCCATATAATACTATATATTAATCTTTTGAGCAGAAGGTCAATATTTAAGAAACTTGATTCACATTAACTTAATATTAAGCAATTGGATTATTTATGTATCTTTATGGGCAAATATATAGCAGCTCATCTGAGAAGATACTGTTCTAAAGAGTGAAGTCTATTTAAATAGTAGATTCTGTGCAAGCGTTAATCTCTGCAGATCTGCCTTTAAAAAATATTGATGGCAGAGATGTTAATTTCCAAGTAAAACAATTTATATTCTTAAAGCAGGCTACATCTTTTCAAATTCTGGTAGAAACAGGCAGCCAACTTGCACATATCATTAAACTTCAAATTCTCTTGTAAATGACAGCCAAAGCATCCAGAAAGTTCAATATATTTTCTCTGAGGCTAGTTGATGTAGGAAGATTTTCATGAGACGTTTTCTCTTCTATCATCAGTTCAATGATGTAAACAGTGACTGATTAAGCCTGCACTCCTTTCAGGTTGATATACCTGACTGAAAAAAAAAAAAAAACACCTCACAGCTGGAATTCTTCCTGAAAACTAAAATAGATGACAAAGTAAAAGACCAATCTTCTATAGACACTTAATGAAGACAGGCTTCAAGGGGTTTTCTATACCAGAGATTACTTTACACCGCAGGATGAGACAAAACGAGCAGATTTCTGCAGCTGAAGATTGCAATCACAGCAGAATAAGGAAAATAACAATAACATATTACTTGTTAAATCACTTACACTGGTTTTCCTTTGGATTCACAAGTCAAAATTATAGATTGTCCTTCTTCGGGCCATGAATTGGAAGAAATGATTTTAACTAAAGGTGTATCTAGGAAGAAAAAAAATAGACATCTTGTTGATATACACAAAAAAGATTTATTACCTAGGAGTACATTCTTCTCTATTTACAAAAGACTATACCATAGATTTAATTTACACTTGGAGATGCTTTTATATGGAGCCTTGTGCAATTTTCATTGTCTTCAGGAAGGCAATAAAAATGACCAATGGAACTAAACCAGTAACTTTTTATATCCCAAGGAAACACAGATAGAAAGCACATGTTTACTCAGAGGAAATAACTTTTTTTCTTTCTGTATTCAATGCAAATACTCCATACGACTATTCCAAAGTCTGATATCTAACAACGAAATAAAAAATATTGAGGATGAATAACAAGCACTCTGTGCAATTGTTTCTTTGTCTATTTATAGGTTGATATGATGGAATGCTGCTATTAGAGGAATGAATGCAATAATATACATTTGAATAAGAACACGTTTATTGTTGCAGAAGCTTGAAACTCATAATAAGAAAGCTACAATGGGCTTTCAGATAAAATACCTTGTTACAGGCATTTTACAGGATATTATTTCTGAAACGCAATAATGCTGCCCCTAAAACAGAATATTCTTTTTTTTAACAAAATTTACAAAAAGAATGTTTTAAATATCTGCAAAAAGCACTACATAAAAGTCTGTAATCTGTCCTAATAATTTAAAAATATTATTCCTATACATTGGGATTAACTTTGTAGTTTTAATTGCAAAAGGATATACAATATAACTACTATGGATTCATGCAGAATAAAATTTTGCAGTAGATCTTTAACTTTTAGAACATTTTGCCAGCTGGCTTGCAAGGATATATCCTCATAATCAAAATATTTTACATGAGTTAGAGGGGTACCTCTTATAAGGAAAAAAAAGACCACAAAGAAAGAAACATTCCTATACAAAAGAGTTTTTTCCTTAGGAAAAGTAAAAAAGAGTTCATAGTCACAGTGAGGAAAATTTTCAGACTCAATAGGAACTTACAAATTCTTGTTTCCTCCACAGTTTCCTGATGCAAAACACATGTCTTCATCTATGCACAAGAAATACTTTAACCTGCAAATCTAGGGTATCTAAGTTTTGTCTCATCCAGTTTGCAATTCCTGTATTCATTAGCAGTGAGGCAGTAGTGACACCACAGACATCCTCTTATCAAGCTAATGTGAAAGAGCATGACAATTTGACCCTACAAAATCAAATGGAAAAAAATGATATGCTGTAACTGTATAATTTCTTATTGAGATGCTAATAGTCCTGTTAAACACTAAATGGCATATGAACAATTAAAAATGTCGGAAGCATTTATCTAACTTTGATTTTTATTTCTGGCATACCATGATGTATCAGCATGGCACAAGACAAGAAAAGGGGAAGGCTTAGTGTAGACTTGTCGTAATTCCACTGAAAGCATTGTCAGCATCGTTTAGCTTTCAGTACAGCTGCACTAACCTTACACCGGTAGCAAAGCTGTTCCACAAGTTCATATTTTTAAGGACCCTGCAAACCATTATGCAGGTGACTAATCCTTTGGAGGTCATGCTGGCATTTGCTTCATTTTTAGCACATGCTTAAGGCACTGACCTCAAGTGCCTTAATAAATCAGGGCATCAAGTACTTCTGTGATTTCAGTGGTGCTATTGAAGATGAATAAATTACTCTCTTGACTATACATTGAACCAGAGGAACAAATTAGTATCAGATAGGAATACATGAAGAATTTAATTGAGGGCGGGAGACAACTAATGCAATGAGATCAAGAGGTTTCCAGAGAAATACGAAAAAGAGCTAAACTTTGATGGAAGTAATCATGATAGCCACAGGTGAAGAAAGAAATTAAAGGCCCATCTAGCTAGCATTACTCGCATATTTAAGAAATGATCAGCATTTTACGCATTACTGTAAATGACCCACATTAAATAGAAGAGGGGACTTCAGACAATTAAGCTTTCATTTGCATGGATCAATGCAGTGCTGTTTCCCCCAACTTGAAGTTCTCACTCCTACTTTATTTAATGCCTTAGACAGCTCTCTGTTCTCCATGCACTTCTAAATAGAGCTTACTAACACAGAAGAAGAAAGGTCTTATATTTGTTTCACTCTCTAATGCACAATAAGGTAGTGTAGGAAATATATTCCCTTGTGGCTTTCCCCACTAATTGACTTGTACAGTAACTACTTGTTTCTTTAAAACAGGAAACGCAGGGATTAATTCAATATATAGTTTTTAGGGAAGCTTTCAATTCACAATTTTTGTATTTTATTAACAGTCTTCTTTCAAAACTAGTTGATATTCTATTTTGGGTGCTTCATTCTCAATGTTACTCTTTCCACTTTATTTTCATGCTGTGCTTGATTTCTCTCCAGAATTAAAGTGTACACTTATAAGGGGAAAACTTTTAAGACAAACTAGTCCTCCACTTTCACATTCACATCAATATTTAAAACAAGAAGAAACTTTTAGAATAATTGCATCGAAACTAACCTAAATATGTTATTTTAACAAAGATAATAAAACCCTGCTGACTGATATTTTTCCAGAACACAAAATGCTGTTACAAAATACTACCTCCTGCTAGGACTGTTCATTTTAGAAGAATTTGACAAGTATAAATGTACTATATCAATACTGCGAGCTTTAACCTGTCATACCCAGAAGTATTAATCATAACAACTGGAACATCACCTAATCTCCAGAAAACACCACCACCAGTAGAAAACAACATCTAAAGAAAGAAAAACATAACAAGAACAGCAATACAGTAAAAGAGAGGTTGATTTGTTTTCAGATATGCTCATTGGCTTGTTATAAGTAATGTAGATATGTCCAAAAAAATCTCTACTTTTACAACCAAAACAAACAAAAGGAGTAGGATCAAGGGTTTTATTGTGGGTCAGATCTTCTGTTGCTCCTCCTCTAAAGTCAGTAGAAGTATACCAACTTACATCAATTAAACTTATCAGAACTTCAATAATTTGCATCTTTTTTAGGATTTAGCCCAGTAATTTCATGGTAATAAAATATTGTAGATCAATATTTCAAGCAGAATTCTTATGAATAAGGGACTGTTGATTAACATGTCTTGACAATACCTACAAATACACCCTTATCCTGAGCTCAAAGGACATTATGGAGCAGATAAATATTCCCAAAAGAATAAGCATTGGGAAAAGCCAATTTTTAAAAAAAAACACAGTGTTTTTTTATGTGAGTGTAGGTAATACAGCAAGACTTGACAGTAAAACACACTGGTTTCAATACCCAGTGACTTATTTATTTACATGCCTCTCCAACAGCGTGAGAGCTGTTTGGCCCTCCAGTCTTTAGCTTGAGTAATGAGGTACTTATGAGCTGCAATTGATTGCTAGCACCAGTCTGAACTGAGACGCAAACATGTCTTTAGACACATAGTAAGACATCTTCTACCCCCTATGTGCCAAGAATCTGCCTTTCTGCTGGAAATAACAGCTTGGCAGCGTTTACAGATAAAAACTATGGGACGGGGTTTTTTTTTATATATCCTTTCCTGTTCCAGCAGACCAAAGGTAAAAGTTCCACTGAGTGATTCTATTTCATACGTCTTTCTAGGACTTGGGTACATCTCATTGCACGAGACCAGGGAAGCCATTTCAAAGTTTTGGGAAGATTTATCTATTTTTGTTCAGGCCATATCATCTTTATTCAGCAATAAATTTCAGTTTACACTGGTAATGAATGTTATCTGATATATGAAGAAATTAAGCACTTCAGCACATGATTTTTGTTGTACTCTTGGCAATAACTAATGCCACCATTAATACCTTGTGGAACTGCTTTATTGATTGACTTAATCTCTTTAAAGCTATTTCAAAATAAAGGTGATTCTTACCAGTCACCAGACCTTTGCTGTTAATCGGATCTCCAATGCTAAAATTTTGGTGTTTTTTTTTTTTTGTTTAAAATGCATTTGCTGTTTTTACATTGCTTGAAGTAAGAAAGAGTTCATTATGTATTTATAGTCTTTTATAGCCAAGCCCTTATGAGGTTACATGCAGGCTTAAATTTCTTCATATAAATTACTTCACATAAATTTCTTCATATAAAGTAAACACACGGAAGCTGCTGGAAGATTCCCATGTGATAAGTTATGTTAAACTGTATGTGTAGGTTTAGCCACCTCAACAACCACAGTGTAAAAGCGGAAACTGAATTCATAAAAGTAAATAGATTTGCTTAAGATCATAAAGCAGGTCACCAACAGAGTCAGAAAATGAATCTCTACTAGCCTCTTCTTAGACTCAAGATAGTAAAAAGGTAATTTGGCCTCTTTTTCCTATATAGCTTCAGAAGTCCTCAGTCCCTTCAGTCCTTAGGAAGTTGGATTACCAGAGCTTCTGTGGATACTTTTCCAAGGAACTCTCAGCTACTGGTTGAGTAACTAAATCAAAGTATGACCCCTGTACATCCTAGGGCATTAATCAGCAAAAGATGTGTGGGAATAACCAGATTTCAGAAGAAAAATAATGTTGGGAGACAAAAGGGTAACATTATGATGATGTTAAGATAGCATCATGTTATCATATCAAATAGTCTCCCTAACATAATCATCTTCAGTTAATGTAATTACAATCCTAGAAACAGAAAATAAGACCACCTCTTTTCTTGGGCAGCTGTTAGGGTGGGTGGAGTACATATATTTTGTTGAGACTTAAGAAATGACTATTGGAAGTAGTAGACTATACAGGAGTAGAAATATTAGTGATCTCATAGTCATTAGAATTCAGATGGTGCTGGAAATGCACCTATTCAAAGATGCATGCATCAGTCTTTTCCCCAGAGAACTGATATATATATATATATGTGTGTGTGTTTAGCTGTAATGTAAACAGTACTTGCCACTAGAGTTCTCTGCACATTTTGTTAAAAGGTAAATCTCTACGTCGCTCAAATCTTATCCTTCATTGCGCTTCCAGTGAAAGGACGATTAACAGAAAAAGTAAAAAAAAAATAAATGCAATA